GTCATAGGCTTCCTACAATACACTGTCATAGGCTTCCTACAATACACCGTCATAGGCTTCCTACAATACAGCCTTGTTTTGTTAGAGCCTCCTGAACCCCTGGTAATAAAACTGTTTGTCTTTGTAACAAGAAGGTTGGGAAAACACCAAAATCTGCATTGGCGTGGGCCCAGGCAGGCTTCGAGGGGTCTATGCCATGAGACCTAAAGTTCTTTTTTTTTGAGACGGATTCTCACTCTGTCTCCCAGGCTGGAGTGCAGTGGTGCAATCTCCGCTCATTGCAACCTCCGTCTCCCAGGTTCCAGCAATTCTCCTGCCTCAGCCTCTGGAGTAGCTGAGATTACAGGCGTGTGCCCCACGTCCAGCTAATTTTTTGTATTTTTAGTAGAGATGGGGTTTCACCATGTTGGCCAGGCTGGTCTTCAACTCCTGACCTGAAGTGATCTGCCCACTTCAGCCTCCCAAAGTGCTGGGATTATAGGCATGAGTCACCGCGCCTGGCCAAGATCTAAAGTTCTTATGAGATTGTCCAAAACAAAAAACATGTCAGCAAAGCCTACGGTGGTTCCATGTGTGCTAAATGTGTTCAAGACAAGACAGAATCAAGTGTGCTTTCCTTCTCGAGGAGGAGAACATCATTGTAAAAGTGTTGAAGGCACAAGCACAGAGTCAGAAAGCTAAATAAAAAATGAATCCTTTTTGAGTAATAAAAATTAAGACTCGTTAAAAATTAGAGGTAAGAGGTAAAAGAAAATATAAGTACATTTAAACTACTCATTCATAGTTTAAATTTTTATTATCTCAAATTAATAAACAGAGATATAAAGACAACCATTAAAAATCCCAAAAAAGGCCAGGCGTGGTGGCTCACACCTATAATTCCAGCACTTTGGGAGGCAGAGGTGGGTGGATCACCTGAGGTCAGGAATTTGAGACCAGACTGGCCAACATGGTGAAACCCTGTCTGTACCAAAAAACACAAAAATTAGCCGGGCATGGTGGCATGCACCTGTGGTCCCAGCTACTCGGGGGGCTGAGGCAGGAAAATCACTTGAACCCAGGAGGCGGAGGTTGCAGTGAGCCGACACTGCACCACTGCACTCCAGCCTGGTGACAGACTGAGACTCCATCTCAAAACAAAAAACAAAAAACAAGAAAACAAAAATTAGTCGGGCATGGTGGCAGGCTGTAATCCCAGCTACTTGAGAGGCTGAGGTAGGAGAATCGCTTGACCCTGGGAAGTGGGGGTTGCAGTGAAGTTGAGGTCACACCGCTACACTCCAGCCTGAGTGACAGAGACTCCATCTCAAAAAAAAACAAAAAACAAAAACAAAAAACAAAACCAAAAAAGCAGGGCTGGAGCATGGTGTTAACAAAAACCCAAAAAGCACATAACCAACTACGATATAAAATGTTGGCTGAGGAATGAAACTGAGGAGGGGAGGATGAACATTTTTCACGATATACCTTTCTTTTTTTTTTTTTTTTTTTTTTTTTTGAGACGGAGTCTCGCTGTGTCACCCAGGCTGGAGTGCAGTGGCGCGATCTCGGCTCACTGTAAGCTCCGCCTCCCGGGTTTACGCCATTCTCCTGCCTCAGCCTCCGAGTAGCTGGGACTCCAGGCGCCCGCCACCACGCCCGGCTAGTTTTTTGTATATTTTAGTAGAGACGGGGTTTCACCATGTTAGCCAGGATGATCTCGATCTCCTGACCTTGTGATCCACCCGCTTCGGCCTCCCAAAGTGCTGGGATTACAGGCTTGAGCCACCGCGCCCGGCCCACGATATACCTTTCTATACTATTTTCTGTATACACGTATTACATTCTGTAGAACCGAGAGCACTATATGGACAAACTGCTCTTCCAAGACAACATCCTACATAGTCATTTGATATCACTGTTTTGGTGCAAGTAATTAGCAAATCTCTGAATAAAAACGGGTTCTACCTCTTGCACAAAAATGTAGGATGAACCTGGATAGCTGGTTATGAAGTTTACAGAGGCAGTTTTCAGATGTTCTAGCAACACAATGGAACACTGAAGAGAAAAATTCTGCATCGACCAACGCCTGTCATCTGTAAAGAGAAAAAGAAACCACCTTAGAAGCACTAACTTCATTACATTCCACACCCTTTAGGACTGCCATCTCCTCGGCTAAACTATAAACTTTAGGAGTAGGAATTATGGTTGAGAGCCTTTTTCAGGGGGCCATACTGCATACTAAGAACACACCTGGGGGGAGAAGTCAATCCAGGTTTGCCACATAATAATTTTGTGGCCTTGAACAATTTTTCTTGTCAGTAAAATGGTGATAACAATAGTACTTTCACTTTCAGGACCCTTGTAAGGGTTTATATACATATAGCAAAGTCCTTGGCACACTGTCTAGACCATAGTAAGCATCTAAAAAAAATTTTTTTTTTGAGACCGAGTCTCGCTCTGTCGCCCAGGCTGCAGGGCAGTGGCCCAATCTCGGCTTACTACAAGCTCCGCCTCCCAGGTTCACACCATTCTCCTGTCTCAGCCTCCCACCACCACACCCAGCTAATTTTTTGCATTTTTATTTTTATTTTTATTTATTTAGAGACGGAGTCTTACTCTGTCACCCAGGCTGGAGTGCAGTGGCACGATCTCCACTCACTGCAAGCCGCCTCCCAGGTTCACGCCATTCTCCTGCCTCAGCCTCCCGAGTAGATGGGGCTACAGGCGCCCGCCACCACGCTTGGCTAATTTTTTTTTGGTATTTTTAGTAGAGACAGGGTTTCACCGTGTTAGCCAGGATGGTCTCAATCTCCTGACCTCGTGATCCGCCCACGTCAGCCTCCCAAAGTGCTGGGATTACAGGCGTGAGCCACTGCGCTCAGCCCAAAAAATTATTAATTAGCATTAGCACAGTAGGCCCTCAGTAAATTACCCAGTTCTTTTCATTACCAAGGTTAAGATGAGATTTGAGCAAATTCCGGGCTTCCCTTTTGAGTTCTTTCTTGCTTTTCTCAGGCAACGAGTAATGAAGTGCATGGATACTCAAGCAAGAGTGGGTATACACAGAGAAGATGTCTCGGGCAGGCTGGCCTTGGCTGATGGTAAAACCAAATACCTGCACCTGGCCATAGAGGCAGGTCACACGGCAGATGCCACTGAAAGTAAAACCCTAGCACGGAAAGAAAACAGAAAGCACAAACATTATACATCCTGTCACTAATGACTGAAACATTCTAAAATCTTTTTTTTTCTTTTTTCTTTTTTTTTTGAGACAGAGTTTCACTCTTGTTGCCCAGGCTGGAGTGCAATGGCGCTATCTCGGCTCACTGCAAACTCTGCCTCCCAGGTTCAAGCGATTCTCCTTCCTCAGCCTCCCGAGTAGCTGGAATTACATGCATGTGCCACTATGCTCGGCTAATTTTGTATTTTTAGTAGAGACGGGGTTTCTCCATGTTAGTCAGGCTGGTCTCGAACTCCCAACCTCAGGTGATCCACCAGCCTCGGACTCCCAAAGTGCTGGGATTACAGGCATGAGCCACCGCACTTGGCCAGATTCTAAAATCTTAACTTGCTATTCACACATTAATAGGCAGGTAAGGCCAGGCACAGTGGCTCACACTCGTGAAGCTGAGGCAGGAGGATCACTTGAGCCCAGGCGTTTAAGATCAGCCTGGGCAACAGAGTGAGATCTCTGTTTACAAAACATTTAAAAATTAGCAGGGTGCAGTGGCATGCATCTGTGGTCCTAGTTACTTGGGAGGCTGAGATGGGTAGACTGCTTGAGTCTCGGGGGTAGAGGCTGCAGTGAGCCATAATTACACCACTCCACTCCATCAATAATAAACATTGGGCCAGGCACGGTGACTCACGCCAGTAACCCTGGACCTCTGGGAGAAGGAGGTAAGGGGATCACTTGAGGCCAGGAGTTTGAGACCAGCCTGGACAACATGGCAAATCCCCCAGCACCCCACTCCCACTGCCACCACCTCTACTAAAACTACAAAAATTAGCTGGGCATGTGCCTGTAATCCCAGCTACCCCAGAGGGTGAGGCATGAGAATCACTTGAACCCAGAGGCAAAGGTTGCAGTGAGCTAAGATCATGCCGGTACACTGCAGCCTGGGTGACAGTGATACTGTCTCAAAAATAAATAAATAAATAAATAAAAATTAACATAAAATAAAAAAATTTAAAAGGCTACAGTCATAAAAAGGAATGAGATCATGTCCTTTGCAGGGACATGGATGGAGCTAGAAGCCGTTATCCTCAGCAAACTCATTCAGGTACAGAAAATCAAATATTGGCCAGGCACAGTGGCTCAAGCCTGTAATTCCAGCATTTGGGAGGCCGAGGCGAGCGGATCACAATGTCAGGAGATCAAGACTATCCTGGCTAACATGGTGAAACCCCATCGCTACTAAAAAAAATACAAAAAAATTGGCCAGGTGTGGTGGCGGGTGCCTGTAGTCCCAGCTACTAGGGAGGCTGAGGCAGAAGAATGGCGTGAACCCAGGAGGCGGAGCTTGCAGTGAGCTGAGATTGCACCACTGCACTCCAGCCTGGGTGGCAGAGTGAGAGGAAGGAGAGAGGGAGGGAGGGGAAAAGAAAGGAAGGAAGGGGAGGAAGGGAGGGGAAAAGGAAGGAAAGAAAGGAAAAGGAAAAGAGAGAGCTGGGCACAGTGGCTCATGCCTATAATCTCAGCACTTTGAGAGGCCTAGGTGGGCGGATCACCTGAGGTCCAGAGTTTGAGACCAGCCTGGTCTGCCTCGGCCTCCCAAAGTGCTGGCATTACAGGCGTGAGCCACCGCGCCCAGCCCTTCCTTTCTTCCTTCCTTTCTAGAGTAGCTGGGATTACAGGAGTGTGCCATCACACTCAGCTAATTTTTGTATTTTTAGTAGAGACGAGGTTTCACCATGTTGGTCAGGCTAGTCCCAAACTTCTGACCTCAGGTGATCTGCCAGCTTCAGCCTCCCAAAGTGCTGGGATTACAGGTGTGAACCACCGTGCCTGGCCCATACTTTATATTTTTAACCTTAGATCATACCCCATGGCAGCTACAGAGAGAGCATGGTGACTGTGAACTCGGCTCTGTGCTCCTGGTTCAGACAGTCTACCACTCTATCCTTTTAAAGACCCACAGCTTGCTAAGTCTCTTCCAGAACTTCCTGGGTTCTGACTTCCCTCCAGCATTAGACAGGGAATCTCCCAGAAATGGCGTCCATGTTAAGAATCAGGCTGCCTGAGTTTGACTCCTAGCTCTCCCTCTACTGTGTAAGTTACCCAACCTCAGTCTCTTCATCTGTAAACATACTTAGAGATAGGGGCAACTATTCCATAAGAGAGCTGGATGTTTAAATGGGTTCAAAGCCTAAAACACTTCAAACCCTTAAATCCTGGAATTTCTGAGCTCTCAGTAATTGCAATCCTTTTTTTTTTTTTTTTAACACCTGTAATCCCAGCACTTTGGGAGGCTGAGGCAGGTGGATCACAAGGTCAGGAGATCGAGACTATCCTGGCTAACATGGTGAAACCCCATCTCTACTAAAAATACAAAAATATAGCCAGGTGATGTGGCACGCGCCTGTAGTCCCAGCTACTCGGGAGACTGAGCCAGGGGAATTGCTTCAACCCGGGATGCAGAGGTTGCAGTGAGCCCAGTGATCGCGCCACTGCACTCCAGTCTGGCGTCACAGCAAGACTACCTCTCAAAAAAAAAAAAAAAAAAATTCCCTTTCAGGGCCAGGCGCCGCGGTTCCCGTCTGTAAGCCCAGCACTTCGGAGGCCGAGGCGGATGGGTCACTTGAGGTCAGCCTGGCCAACATGGAGAAACCTCGTCTCTACTAAAAATACAAAAATTAGACCGGGGGCAGTGGCTCACGCCTGTAATCCCAGCACTTTAGGAGGTGGATCACCTGAGGTCAGGAGTTCGAGATGAGCCCGACCAACAGGGTGAAACCCCGTCTCTATTAAAAATACGAAAATTGGCAGGGCGCGGTGGCTCAAGCCTGTAATCCCAGCACTTTGGGAGGCCGAGACGGGCGGATCACAAGGTCAGGAGATCAAGCCCATCCTGGCGAACACGGTGAAACCCCGTCTCTACTAAAAAATACAAAAAACTAGCCGGGCGAGGTGGCGGGCGCCTGTAGTCCCAGCTACTCAGGAGGCTGAGGCAGGAGAATGGCATAAACCTGGGAGGCGGAGCTTGCAGTGAGCTGAGATCCAGCCACTGCACTCCAGCCGGGGCGACAGAGCGAGACTCGGTCTCAAAAAAAAAAAAAAAAAAAAAAAATCCAAAAATTAGCCAGGTGTGGTGGCCAGCACCTGTAATCCCAGCTACTTGGGAGGCTGAGGCGGGACAATCACTTGAACTCTGGCGGCAGAGGTTGCAGTGAGCCGAGACTACGCCACTGCACTCCAGCCTGGGCGACAAGAGTGAAACTCCATCTCAAAAAAAATACAAATAAAAATACAAAAATTAGCCGGGCGAGGTGGCGCACTCCTGTAGTCCTAGCTACTCAGGAGGCTGAGGCACGAGAAGCACTTGCCACCGGGGGCCGAGGCTGTAGTGAGCCGAGATCGCGCCACTGCACTCCAACCTGGGGAACAGACTGAGACTTTGTCTCAAAAAAAAAATAAGCCGGGCGCGGTGGCTCAAGCCTGTAATCCCAGCACTTTGGGAGGC